TAGCTTCCTTCCCTCTAGTCTTACACTACTAAATTAGGGATGGCTAGCGCAGATAGCCCTCGTGTAGCTTTGCGCGAAATTCAAAACAAAACAAAAACACGTTAAAGACTCAACACTTCAAATAAAAGCACATTAACAGTTAAATAAGATTAACCAAATATAAAATTATATAAGATTATAATGATTTTATTGGTTCTCCTATACAAATTTTCTAGAACAGTCAGTCATCGTACGAAACATGCTATTGGTGCGGATAACGCATAACAAAAAACCTATACATGACTTTTCTTTAGCTGTTTAATAAATTCGTTTATAAATGTGTCACTTTATACGCATATCTCGCCTATACTTAAATTGGCAACTAATTTCACTCATATAACAAGTGATTCTCAGAAGAATGAAATTTAGGAAATTTGATAAAATATTCGAATCATTGTTTATCTTCATCATATGTAGATACTTCATCCACTTAACGCCTGAGGAAAATCATTACCATCAGTAATGACGCTTACCCAGGCAAGAAAACGGTTCTCTCAAGCTAGGTTGGTTCGTTCTCCAAGTCATTAGAATCTTAATAAACCATAACTTTGGAATAAAAGTGAGCCGTAAAGTGTTCGCGTAGAAACTTCGTTCTTCTGTAACTAAGTGGATATTGACAAATTATCGCTTTTAAAATTACACTTTTAGTTTTATTATCTAATGCAGTAAAGATGAAAAAAAACAACAAAGACCGTACTTTGATAAATTAACTGTTAATGCCTGTAAACCGGTTGATAAAGAGAATACACAAGGGGTAATATTGCAGTGTGCATTGATACAGCCTTAGCAGCTCACTAAGAAATCATTATATCAAGAATGTCATTCTTAAAACCGTGTGTCATTAATTATATGTTAAATCTAAGGAAAATTACACAGCTAACAGATGTTACAGTAAAGTTAAGCGATTGGTTCAAAGATGTCGTACATTCATCATTCCTACTAAACCTTTCCCAATTTTTTGGAAAATAATGAAGCTTGTACGTAGAAGAAGAAGAAGCAGCTATTTTGCCTTGAAACAAACAATATCGACATTATTTCATTTAAAACGGGTGATTTTATTGGGCTTAATTACTTGTATAATATCAAAGCGTATAATGCCTTAGTTTACTCTTATGTTACCTTTTTTTTCCTCGTTAAACAAGCTACTTACAAATTTTCTAAAACTTCTTTTAAGCGCAAAACTACGCAATGAGCTATCTACGCGGGGTATTAGGTTTGTTTGTTTGTTATGGATTTCGCGCAAAGCTACACGAGGGCTATCTGCGCTAGCCGTCCCTTATTTAGCAGTGTAAGACTAGAGGGAAGGCAGCTAGTCATCAGCACCCACTGACAACTCTTGGGCTACTATTTTACCAACGAATAGTGGGATTGACCGTCGAACCCGCAGATTGCGAGTCGAGCGCCCTAACCACCTGGCCATGCCGGGTCTAAGCTATAGGTGTTATCGTTATAAGCCCTAGATCTTACTTTTGAGCCATGCTTTTTGTACTTTTTATTTTGTTTGATTTAATTTCACAATAATAACAAAATAACGCACTTAATTACTTTATTGTTAAAAAAATGCTTCCAAGGCAATAACTTGAAGACGAACTTAGAAGCCAAATTAAACTTAAACATCATTTGCACAACTATTGCTTTAGGGTAAATATGTACAAAACTTTTATTCTGTTGTACTAACCTGTAGCGGTTGTATTAGTGTCAGCATCCACGACATGTTTAAGCTTGTACCCGCCCTCTACCGGAGATGATACTTCTACCGGGCTTCTCCTTCTCTTCTTGTCGACTTCTTCTGTGTCGTTGATGAGGATGTTTTTCACTTCAGGAGTAACTCGAACACTGGAGTCCTTGAGGAGATCCAAAGACAGTTTAGGGCTGCCACAGGTCTCCTCGAGTTTCCGTGGTGTGGATAACCCACTGTCCTTTTTACTAGCAGGAGACGAAATGCTTGGTAGTCTCGAGCGGAAGACATTGTTTTGGTCATTACTCTTTCCATCAAAGTCACCATCGCCATAGTAAACACAGTTTTCTTTATTACAGCTGTGCACTTTGTGCTGGATGAATTTCACAATATCTGATAAGGCAAAGTCTTTCTGGCACACGCCGCATGTTAAAACGTCTTGGAGGATGGCCGGGTCAGCTGCTGGAAAAAAAAACGAAAGGCATTCGGATATACGTTCACGTATTTTTATACATTCTAAATTATAGCTTAAAAGTACTAAAATAAAACAACGACGAGCAGATAGAAATAATAAAAGAAATATACTTCTTCGTAATGACAATAAGTTTACAGTAATTATGGAGTAATTCTGAAGCTTGCTTTTCAATGTGTTAAAAACGCAACTCTAAGAGCAATTACTTAAATTTCTTTTATAGTGTAATCCATTGTATGAACACTGTCGTACAGGTGATATTCAAAAAAAAAAAAAACTACAAGCATTAAAGCATGAAAAATGAAGTTAAAAATATTCGCCATTAACAAGGTTTATTACAGCATTAATATCTACTAAAAGTTACAAATGCACTCTTCACCGTTCCAGACATTGTTCCGAACTACAAACTGACGCTAAACACAGCATATCATAGATACTACGTGCTACAAACAAAAAATGGTCCCTTGTTCACCGTTACAAACATTGTTACGCACCACAAATTGACGCCAAACACGGCATATCACAGATACTACGTGCTACAAACAAAAAATGGTTCCTTGTTCACCGTTCCATACATTGTTACGCACCACAAACTGACGCCAAACACAGCATATCACAGATACTACGTGCTACAAACAAAAAATGGTCCCTTGTTCATCGTTACAGACATTGTTTTGTACCAACAAGTGACGCCAAACACAGCATATTACAGATATTGCGTTATAAAAACGAAATGTCTCTTCACTGTCTCAGACATTCTTATGTACCACAAAATGACGCCAAACACTGCATATCATGGATATTGCGTGCTACAAACGTCTAATGGTCTCTTCATCGTTCGAGATATTTTTACGCACCACAAACTGACGCTAAACACAGCATATCACAAATACTGTGTGTTACAAATGGCCTATGTGCTCTTCACTGTTCCAGACATTGTTACGCACCACAAAATGTCGCCAAACACAGCAATGTTACATATAATACACATTACAAAATGGTCTTACACTCTTGGTTGTTATAAAATCATGTGAAAACAGATACTTGTAATTAACTATTGACTATATTTCAACCCCATAAATCTAAGACTAATCAGTGAGTCTTAAGATAACAATTGTCGTGCAACAGTTAGTACAATATTTTTAGCCGCGGCATAACGGCTCATAGAATGGCTCTGAGTTTTTCAAGTACAAACGTTTAGCTCATAGCTCCGTTATCTCTTGACCGATTTGAGATATAATTTCAGTTTTGGGCTTAGGAGGTCAAACCTTTTCGATTGATGTACTTGACCACGCTCAAGGTCTCATAGAATAATTTACTCTAATCTTGCCTAAAAGAATTTCACTTTGAGGGTAGGCTGGTAGAGATCCTGATGAGTAATATAATCGAATGGGGTATGCGTGCACCCCACGTTTGGTATTGTTGGCGCACAAAAATATAGCTAATAAAAATGGAAAAAAAAAGGTCTCTTAGATTAATTTACTCTAATCTTCCTAAAAAAAAAAATTCAAGTGTTGCGGCTATTGAGGATTCCCTCTTGTTTAAATGTGAAAACAAACATAACACCGCTTATATATAAAAACACGTTTTTACTGAGTTATTGAACTGTAGGTTCAGAAGTTTTCAATTAATTAAAAGATTCAATGGTAAACGCTACTTGTTGTAAAGATGTAATATTATCGAAAAAATCAAATAAGTTTACCTGTCACGATTGAATGAACTATACGCTATAATTTCTAAACGTCAAACAGAGCTCTTTTTACTTACATATGCGTGATATTTCTATAAAGAAACAAAAACATATACAGAGTGTGTGCCTTTCTTGCTTTTGTAAGAATGCTGAATTAAATAGAAACCTATTAGATAATGTACCCAATATTTCAATATATACTACTAGTACATAGTATAAACAGTTACACACAAATAATGCTACTACACTGAAATCATTTTCTGCACCTCAACACCAGTGACAGCCAACTGTGAACAAATGAAAAAAAACTCCGATTATTGAACAAAAGTAATGAAAGCTCCACAGAAACGTTTTAGAAAACAAAAATAATTAATTCTAATTACTAGTGTCAAAAGTTATCAACAATGTATGTATAGAAAAAAATCCTGTAAGCGGGGAGGGGGACGGTTGTAAGAATATCATTCATAAGTTACCAAAACCCAGGTGGATACAAACAAACTTGGTTGAGGTATTTCATGCATAATTAATTATTGTTTTATTTTTGATGAATGTAGGAGGGGAAGTTCTGAAGTACAGAGGGCGGGGGGAATGCAACCTCTATTCATTAAGAAGAGTTGGATTATCAACCTTGGAAGGCTAATGAAGCTCTACATTGGTATTGTCCAACCAACCATTTGCTTCGACCCAAGCACCTCCTTACATCATACAAAGGAAACTCGCTTGCACCCTAGCGACTAACCCGAGAACCACTTATGTTTTCTTCTTGGCTTCTTATGTAACTATGGGGTTACTTCACATGCAACTCTTACAGATCGATGTAATATGTATAGTTCTACAGAACGAAATTAGGGTAAACTATTAAAACTAATATATTAAATAATTACATAGACTATAACTCTTTTACTATTATTAAACCTTTGATATAGAGTTTTTAAACATGTAATTTTGAACTAGAAAAGTATTATTCTGAACAGAATTTCATTTTTTAAACATTAAAGTTACTGTAAAGGGGTGATAGTGTCAGTTTAATGTCAATGAATAGTTTGCTTCAATGCTATGTATTAATACTGATTAACCTCATGACTTAGTATAATATTATTAATAAAGAAGAATATAATTATTCCGCGAGAGGGCGAGCCAGGCATTTTGGGATAGGAAGCGTGAAACTGTCAACGGTAAAATTGAAGCATTCAGTAGAAGGTGACAAAGAGATATATACCACAATGTAAAAAGCAGATCTCGTGGTTTACACTGGTAAATATGAATTTTATTTTAAAATAACTTATTCATTACCAGCAAAGGAAATAGGGTACCTTAAAAACACATGGTCAAAGAAACCAGTCACTTATGTAAACAATGTTAGTGTATTTTCTAATATTGTAATATAAAATGTTTTTCTCCATGATTTTCTCGATGAATTAACGTTGGATTTTGGCTTAAGTCACTGTTACTATCTTCAACTCATGTTGTATTGAAGTAATCATTAAAACTCGGATTTTTAATGCGAATTTCATTGTCAAAAACTCACCTGTCATAATTCGTAACAACTCAAGTCATCAAAATTAATAAGCTTGCAAAATCTTCGTTAAAAACCGTATTCACGAACAAAAGTCTCTTTTCTCAAACATGTTCTAATAACACCAATAACGTTCTAGTTGAAAGACATTTCTATCACCCGCGCCTGATCTTACATTAATGGCCTGTGTAGGCAGATTTATTTGAATTTACTCGACGTCGGCCTATAAACGTTGGGTCTCAGCAGTCCAAGAGTTCAGGCCATGAGAGGGAAACAGAATCTCTCTCGGTGGCGGATACTTTTCTTGTCTCATTATATTTGCGTGTATCAAGGCGGTGGGTGACCTAGGCTCGAAGTTGTTTCTCTACTTCAGCGCCAACTAGCTCACAAGATGAAGGTTTTCAAACTATCTGAACTTTGGTTCACGTTGACCTTCCGCCCGCCTCTCTCTTCAACTTGTTTGATAAGCCATCACTCTTCCACTCGCCAACTTGCCTCGCCGATTTCCCAGCCATTAGTTACGGTACGGTAGGACACTCTAAATCAAACAGTTGTCGCCCCAGGTCCGCGAGTCCTGTACTTTCTTCTCTCAAACCTGTTGTCTCAATGACCTGTCTCCTCTTCTCCGCTCGTGCACGCAGAAAATATTAACAATAAACAAATGAAGAAGAAGAATCCAAAGTAGAATTCTTAATTTATAACTTCATCTATTTATTACTGAATCAACAAAAAGAAAGAGATACTGGTTTCATGGGTAATCCCACTCTTTAGCCTGAGAAACGACAAAGCCGTAGTGCTCTCTCGGGTCTTTCCCCCTCTCTCTGTACCTGTATATATAAAAGCACGTTTCTTACGACCACACAGGAACTCGATTTTATTTTCTAATTAGAAACGCCTATATATCTCAAATTGGGGTTTATCATATAAAAAAAACACATGAACCACGTGAGTTTTAAAGCGGCAGACACAATTTAAACTAATCACCAGAGGGTAGTTCATAGGAGAAGGAACCTTTCATTATTATTTATTTCTTGTTAAGCCCAAAGCTACTCACACTAGGCCGTCTGCTCAGTCGACCGTGGGTATCAAAACCCGATGTTTGGCTTTATAAGCCCTCAGACTTACCACTGAGCCACAGAGGGGGAGGGTACCCCACATTAATAGAAACAATCTAGGGATTTCACCACAAAACAAAAGGAATAACAGTTTACAAATCATTCAACATCGATGTATTCTACTATAATGAAAATTTGATATTAAATTATAGTAACATTTACACATCTGTCAAAAGTGGTACGGTTTTATCCTTCATGTTTATTTTATTATCACGAACAGGACTTACCACAAATAATTTATATTATTTTTTTATAATAATAGTCTGATAACAATCAATACCCTCTAATACTAATTTAAACAGCGCCAAAAAAATGAAACAAAAATGTTATTAGAATAAGTTGGAGTTAATAGGGATGATAATTTTTCAAAATAATTAAGCAGTCCTCAAACAATCTTATTTAGAGTTTATGTCGTCGAATCTTACGAAGAGTTTTCGTCGTCCGGATGAATATATTCGACTGTATCTTATTAAAACGATGTTAAATCTTGGTTTAAAAAAAAACTCAATATTAAGTATATGAAAACAATGTGAAATCATAACTACTCAAAGTTTTTTTCTGTTTGTTTGTTTGTAATTAAGCACAAAGCTACAAAATGGGCTATCTGTGTTCTGCCCACCACGGGTATCGAAACCCGGATTCTAGCGTTGTAAATCCGCAGACATTCCG